GACACCGCCTCTGCATAGCTTGATGAGTGGTGAGTAGGTCTGTACCCAGGATCCAAACCGGCAAACTTCAAGCCACCGAAGCAGAGCATGCGAACTTAACTGCTATGCCACGGAGTCGGCACTGAGAAATAATTTTTTAAGGAACAGTTTGTGATCATTAAAATTAAGGATATAACCAGCTGAAGAGCTAGAGAATAACTGAGGGGAAAAGTTAGAGAAACTCATCAGTAAAGACTTGTCTAAGTAGGTGGAGGTTCATCTGAAAATGATAAAAATAAGATGGAGCAAGCCAAGCAAAATCTCTGGAAGAGAGAATTCTAACAGTGATCGGATTAAGAACAAAAGCCCTGAACGGGAAAAAGCTTGAATTATTCAAAAGACAGTTTATACAAGGAGAGAGAGAGAGAGTGGCCAGAGCCTTGTGAGAAAAGAGATGGAGCACAAAATGCACTGGAGAGGTAGGCAGCAACTTGATTGTAGTATCTTAACCTGATTTGCATGCATAAAACATGCCCATGGCTGCTGAGGACCCAGTGAATTGGAATGAATGGGAGAGCAAGACCTCATTGTCCTTGCAGGAAAGATTTGTTCTTAGCATGTAAGCTAGTGACTGCTCAGGGTCCCTTGTTTCATCCACAGCATCCTCATGGCGTTCTTCACCTCTGTGTCCCTCAAGGTGTAGATCAAGGGATTTAACATGGGTGCGACAATAGTAAAGGACACAGCCATTGCCTGGTCTATGGGGTAAGTGGCCACAGGCCTCATGTACAAGAAAATGCATGGCACAAAGAACAAGATGACCACTGCGAGGTGCGAGCCACAGGTGGAGAGAGCATTATGCCGTCCTTCAGGGCTGCAAGACTTCAGGGAGCAGAGTATGACGACATAGGAGGTGATGAGGATAAGGAAGATGATCACACACATCACCCCACTGTTGAGGATGACTAAGAGGCCCAAGATGTGGGTGTCCATGCAGGCCAGTTTCAACAATGGAAACAAATCACACATAAAGTGATCAATGACATTGGGACCACAGAATGGTATTTGATACATGAAGAGAAGCTGTGTTACCGCATGGATAAATCCCCCCAGCCAGGCCCCTCCCAGCAGCAGGCAGCACACCTGAGGCCTCATGATGGGCATGTTGTGCAGGGGCTTACAGATGGCCACATAGCAGTCATAGGCCATCACAGTGAGGAGGATGATCCACACACCACCAAAGAAATGCTCTGCAAAGAGCTGGGCCATGTAGCCTTCGAGGGAGATGGTAGTGCTCTCAGAGAGGGAGTCCACAATCATCTTGGGAGCAATGACAGACGAGTAGGTGGCATCCATGAGAGACAAGGAAGTAAGGAAAAAATACATAGGTGATCTCACACTCTGACTTGTCATCATGGTTACCACGATGAGTAGGTTTCCCAAAATGGTGGACACATACATGATTAGAAACACAGCAGAGAGTATTTTCTGCAGCTCTGGATTCTTTGTAATGCCCAAAAGAATGAATTCACTCATATTGTTTGGATTCTCCATTTGCTATGGGTTGATGTAAGCACATTGCTCTGAACTGGAAAATCTGCAAAAGAATAGCATTTTTTGTTAGTAATCACTGAGTGTATTAGATATTTTTGCACTCTATTCATACCCTCTTGACCTGCCCTTTTCTCCAACCATTGATACAGCAACCAGATGCTAACAATTTTAGCCTGACAACAGCTTGATCCTACTGATCTTCCCAACAACACCTTCTCTCACCAGTGTATCTCTTGCTTTCTGTCCTGATACTTGCTGCTTGAAATGCTTAGAAGACCCTGCTTCATCATTCTGGTGCATACACACACCTGGAAAGATGAAGGAATTAACACACTTTAAGGAGACCCGAGATCATTGGTAGATAGAAGCCTACCGTTTACCAGTGGATAAACGGTAACCAGCTTAACACAATCTTGGATTAACTGTCTTTCCTTCCCTGCTTCACTCTCCCTGTTCACTGCCTCCATTCTGTTTTCCAAAATAGCCCACCCACATACAAACCCTTCTCTCAACCTCTGCTTTTAGGAAACCTCAAGCTGGGAAGCTGACCTCAGTGTATCACTAGACACACCCAAGAACCAAGAACTTGGAACATTTCATATGAATTCTCAGTCTTCTATTCCATATACTCATTGAGCACCTGAATGGGGTAGTTGAAGGGCCTGTTAAGACAGATAGGCCATAACCCAAGGACTCTCTCTTTTTTAATAACTATGCTTTTTCCATCTGCATTTCTTCCTTCTCAAATTGAGTTATATTTTTATGTATTGCTCATAGTCAATGACTTTCTGCTATGTCTCAGCCAGTGGATTATCTTATGATACATTTTCTTCATTTTATAGATAAGATACTGAAGCTTAAAGGGGTGAAAAATGAGGCCAAGTTCACAACTAGTAAACATTGAAGCCAAATTCAAATCCAGCTTTTCCTGATTCAAAATCAATACCAATAGCAAGCTATGTTGCTTCCCTGATGATAATATCAAGTGCTCAATATGAAAGAGACACTGTGATTCATGATATAATTTCATTTTCATTACGATCAAGTGAGATAGATTTATGTTTTCTGTGCTCATTTCATTAAACAATTCTACACTAAACTTCAATGACAATTCCACAATAAAGAGCATGTTCTAGTTATATACATTCATATATAAAATCCAATCCTGAAACTAGAAGTTACAATTACTGACTAAGCTTCCCAGACTCTAATCGTTTTCCAGATACGCTGATTAAAGAAAATAAAACATTAAGTCTCTTTCTCTGCTCCAGGAAGACCCAGATCCAACTTAGCTGACACCATCTCTGAACACGAGCCTGAATCAGTGTAAATCATTCCTTCCATTGTTCCTTGTGAAGAGATGATTCCAGATGAAACAAAGAATTCTAAAGAATAGTCAAAATCTCAGTAAAACAACTCATTTATTTCACACTGTGTAACAGCAAGGTGCTAGGTACGTTGCATGCATTATTGCATTTATTTTTCATATCACATGAGATATGTGCTATCACAAGTCCTACCTTGAGGATGAAGAAACTGAGGCTTGGAGACATTAAACATCTCATCTAAAATGACTGGGGATTACGAATCCAGGAAATCTCATTTTGAAACACAAGTTCTCAACCATTACATTATACCACTAAAGAAGTGAACAGTGGCCTCAACTAGCTAAATACAATTGTTACTGCAGACAAATGATATGGTAAAAGAACTGCTTCAGTAGCAAACTTCTGTTTGCTAGGGTTACTTAAGCAGAGACTGTCTGTGACTTGGTGGGAATATATTAGATTATTGCTTTAGATGTAAACTACATGTTCTCTTAGACTCCCCTAAATACTCAAAGGCATATTCTTAGAATTATCCCTCTATTTAACAAAGTATACAGTTACCTGGACACTCTTTGCATATCTACAATATGGACTAACCCCAGCCTCTCCCATCTCCAGCCTAAGCACTTCAGAAGCTCTTTAATAGTCCTAATGAAGTAGAAGCAACACCTTCTTGCAAATCAAGATAGCTAGGTTTTATTCCAGGTTGTCCCTCTAACTGCTCTAATCCTTTGTTACATTTCTCACTACTCTGGGTATGAGACAGTTATGGCAAATGAATGGAAATCTAGGGCTTCAAAGGAGCCATCTCAGGGACTCTGTCCCTTTCAAACACAGCAATACGGTTCTTACCTGCATTAAATGTTCACATTTCAAGTAAGATTTCCTTTGAGCCATCTCGTGACTTAAAACATTTTAAAACAAACTGCACTATGAAAGATAATAATGCCCCTTCTGTTTTAAAAATCTATGAATTCATCACAAATCTCTTTTGATTACTAGTATACATCTCAACTTCCCAATCTGACATCCAAGACCCTCCCCC